GCTAGGATGACAACTCAAACGTAACAATAGATGGAAAACACATATTGTATGATATGATCGGCCATTCCTAATTCAGCCGCGATCCGCAGTAAACGTTTAAGACGTAATTTACATGCACAACAACACTAATCTTAATTGTGCCAAGTTCAAAAAAATCATTTTTTAGTTTTAATAATATAATCGAAAGATTGTTATCAAAGCACAAGTTTATTATTTTGTTGCGCCAGATTCATAAAGAACACTCAGTACACGAGTACTAATTCTGGAATAGTTTGGCACAGTTTTGCATACGATATCTTTTATCAGATATGATCTATAATTCTATGATCATATGACTTTGAATTTTGTTAATTGACAATGGGGTTAAAAAAGATAATCAACTTCTCGAGGTCTTTTCAAATATTTTTCAATCTTTTCTCGAGAACTTTCATTCTTTAGAATTTGTTTGAAATTCAATGTTATTTTTGGATTTAATTTCGAAGCAAATACGTCATTTAATATATTCATTAACGAACGAAGCGGACAAAATAAGTAGTGACGGAAGTAATAATAGGCAGAAGATCTGTGAGTCAACTTCTGGAATGACAATGGATCGAGATGCAATTAAAGGAATCAATGGAATTGAACACGTGAACACAACAGAATCTAAATATGTATATTATATAGAAAAACGTCATACTTCTACTGCTGTTCAAAACCGGGAGGAAGGGTCAGTTCAGGATTGGAGAATGCGTGAAAGACTTAAGACTGTTTCAGGTGCTTTAGTTCTATGTTTAAATATTGGCGTAGACCCACCAGACGTAGTTAAACCAAGTCCTTGTGCTAAATTAGAATGTTGGGTTGACCCTTTTGCTTTGCCTCCTGCTAAGGCTTTGGACGCAATTGGTAGAAACCTTCAGGCTCAATATGAACAACTCAGCATCAGAACTCGTTATAAACAATATTTAGATCCTTCTGTAGATGAGATGAAAAAATTTTGCACAAATTTAAGAAAGAGTGCAAGAGAAGAGCGTATATTATTTCATTATAATGGTCATGGTGTTCCTAAACCTACAGCAAGTGGTGAAATATGGTGTTTTAATAAACACTTTACTCAATATATTCCAGTATCTTTGGGTGATTTACAATCATGGTTAGGGTCTCCTTGCGTTTATGTGTATGATTGTTCTGCTGCTGGAAATATTTTAGAAAGTTTTAAACGCTTTACAGAGCAACGATATTTAGAAGCTGCTAGGGCTGATTCGAATTCCGTTCCGCAAGCACCTCTTAATATTCAATTAGCTGCTTGTGGTCCAAATGAAACTTTACCAATGCATCCTCATTTACCAGCAGATTTATTCACATCATGTTTAACTTCTCCAATAGAGATAGCTTTAAGATGGTTTGTTTTACAAAATCCATTACCGACATATCTCACGGTTGATATGGTGATGAAACTTCCTGGTAGGTTACAGGATCGTAGAACACCGCTGGGAGAATTAAATTGGATTTTTACTGCTATAACGGATACCATTGCTTGGAATGTACTCCCCCGAGGTTTATTTAAACAATTATTCCGACAAGATCTCATGGTTGCTGCGTTATTTAGAAATTTTCTTTTGGCAGAAAGAATCATGCGACGTTATCAATGTAACCCCATGTCACATCCTCAACTACCACCAACTCACGATCATCCAATGTGGGACTCATGGGATCTTGCTGTTGATATGTGCTTAGCACAATTACCATCCCTTTTAAATGCTGAAAGTGGAGGACCAGAAGTTGAGTATAAACACTCTAGCTTCTTTGATGAACAATTAACAGCATTCCAAGTATGGTTATCAAAGGGATCTGTTTCGCAAAAACCACCTGAACAATTACCAATAGTATTGCAAGTACTTCTTAGTCAGGTACATAGATCTCGAGCATTAGGTTTATTAAGTAAATATTTGGATTTAGGACCTCGTGCAGTAAGTTTAGCATTATCAATAGGTATCTTCCCTTATGTATTAAAATTATTACAAAGTCCTGCTGCGGATTTAAAACCCCCCTTAGTGTTTATTTGGGCTAGAATTTTGGCTGTTGATAGGTCTTGTCAACAAGATTTATTAAAGGACAATGGTTACACTTATTTTGTGAATATTTTATCTCCTAATAGTATGTTAAATATTCCAAATGAAGCTGAACATCGTGCAATGTGTGCTTTTATTTTGGCAATATTTTGCACAAATTTTAATCAAGGACAAGCTGCATGTAAGAAGTCTAACGTTTTACACGCGTGTTTAGCTCGTATTAATGATGTTGATGCACTTTTACGACAGTGGGCTTGTTTATGTATTGGTCAATATTGGAATAATTATGTAGAAGCAAAGAGTGAGGGTATTGAAAATCAAGCCCATTTGAAGCTTTTTGGACTTTTGATCGATCCAGTCCCTGAAGTTCGTGCTGCGGCACTTTATGCTTTAGGAACTTTTATTGGAGATTTGAATCGTACCGAGCAAATCGTTAATATTGAGCAGAACATAGCAATTAACGCTCTTGATGCTATAAATGATGCTTCCCCTATAGTTCGTCGAGAATTAGTGATTGCTCTTTCTCATATCGTAAGTGCATATACTGAACAGTTTACGCGTGCTGCTTATGAGGAGTTGCAAGAAATACGAAGGAGGACCTTGATTCGGCAGCCTGCAAGTCGATCTAATTCTGTATACACGTGTATCTGGAAAGCATTGTTGAATTTATCACCTGACCCTGATACTGAAGTTTCTCAGCTTGCATCAACTGTTATTGATTATATTCATGATCAATTGTTGGAGTCTCAACGTGCAGAAAGTGTAGCATTGACTATACGGCAGGTTATACAAGAACAGAGCTCTCAGGAGACTGAAACGTTTCGACAATCTTTAAATAGAGCTTCATCACCGGATGATGTATTACCTCTCAAATCAAAATTCTTTGATTGGAGTTGTGAATACTTCCGAGAACCTCAAATGAGGGTAAATATAATTTATACATTAAAAAAAAATTTTTACTTTTTAAGAGAAAATCTACTTTAACTAACTGTTTATTTATTTATCGTCATCAAGCCAGCTGAATCTGAACAGCAAGGTAGCATTGATGATAATGAAAGGTTATGGCGTCGGAAGAGAAATGAAAGTATAATCGAATCGACTCAACCATTAAAGGAAGTAGCTGGTTGGTATATCGATGATGTACATTTTATTTTAATTATTTTATTAAAACCATTCTAACATTTTTAAAAAAAATTTTAAGGCTCGAGTCGATGGAACAAGCAAATTGCATTTTTCAATAATGATTCCGAGCCCACGAGATTGCTATTCCACCAATTCGAACCGCATCTAGTGGTTGCTAATGACAAAGATATGATTAGGTGAAAAACAAAATTCATTTATAATATTTATATCTGTAATTAAATTGGTATTAATTATATTTTACTTGATAGTGTTTGGAATTGGAGAGAGCATTACCGCACACATACCTTTTCTAATGGAAATCCAACTGGTAGCAAAATAACAACATTAAAATTCATCAATGAAGACGAAATTTCAATGTTATTGACTGGATCAAGTATAAACTTTGATTTATTTATTTCTTATTTTTTAATAAATGCAAACAAATATTAACTTTATTTGCTTAATTTTGTTTTGTAGGTGATGGTGTAGTACGTTTATATCGAAATTATAGTTTATCATCATCTTTAGAATTAGTAACATCGTGGCGTGCTATGCCAGAGATTATGGTTAACAGTCAAAGAACTGGACTTGTTGCTGAATGGCAGCAAGAACGTGGAATTTTATTAGTGGGTGGGGATCATAATATGATTCGAGTTTGGGATGCTCCACGTGAAATTACGATGAGTGTAAGTGTATAATTTCATTAGTAGTTTATTTACATGTTATTATTTTATACGATCGTTATTGACATAAATACTTTATCAGCTTATTCCTACTAGAACTAGTAGTTCGATTACTAGCCTTACAAGCGATGGAGAAGATATTTTTGTTGCTGGATTTGCAGACGGAGCAGTTCGTGTATATGATAGACGTATTCAGCCTAGGGAAGCCATGATATTAACGAGTAAAGAACATAAGAATACCATAACTAACGTTGTGTGGCAAAAAGGAGCTGTACGTGAATTAGTTTCAGGAAGCAAGTCAGGTGAAATTAAATTATGGGACATTCGGCTTAGTCATTCAAAACTTACTATAGTCGATACAAATGTTTCTGAAATGAATGCGTTGGATGTTCATCATCATGCGAACGTTGTTGCAAGGTACGTTATTATTTATTTTTTTTGGTTTATTATAAAAAATTGTCTTTTTAAGGTAACAAATGAATATTCTTCAAAATCATTTTTTTAGCGTTTATTCTAACCAACTTATCAAAGTTTGGAATACAAATACTGGAGTAAATCTATCAGTAGCCCGGTATAATACTGGATTTTTAGGATGGGGCGCTCAAGTTACTTCATTAGCTCTTGCTGGTCATCATATGGTTATGGCAATTGGTGCTACTGACAATTATTTATCGTTATACGGGGTCGCTAATAATTAGTTTTTTTCTTTTTTTTATTAATTGATTCAATCACTAAATTATAGTTTTTTTTTTTTTTCATTATTATTATTATTTTTATTTATTATTATTATTGTTATTATTATAATATTATTATTTGCGTTTACATAATGTTGATGTTGGAACACTTATTTATTTATTTTGATTGTAAATTTTTTAGTTACAAGTATTTATAATATATATCATCATTTATTGGATTTGCTAATAATTATATAAATTCTTTAACAGAAACCAAAGTTATGTATATTTAATTAATATTCATGTAAAGGTTTTGATGGGATTATTACAATTTAACAACAAATTTTTAGTAGTTGGTATTTATTTCAATTGTAAATTTCATTGCATTTTTTATTTTATTTTTTAATATAGAATGATAAATATCATTCAATCTTTATTTTAGTATTTAGATTTTTTTATTTTTTTTTTTCTCATATTATTTGTTCAATACTTTTTATTCCAAATTTGGTGGAAAAACATTTAGACATTTTTTTTTTTCAATTGATATTTATAAATATGAATGAATTTAATTTATATAGAAACATAAATTGAAAAATATACTACTTATTCCTTTTTTTTTAAATAATAATATTTAATTAATCACATAAAATAATTAATTACCAGGATAGGGAATTTTTTCTTCGGGATAAGTAGGGCCGACACGTTTAATATTAATATTAGCTAACCAATGACCAGCAGAGATACATTCATCGATAGGTTTACCTTGAACATATTGACTTAAAAATCCACCAACAAAAGCATCACCTGCTCCATTAGTATCAACTATATCTTTTTTATCTATATTAATAATTGGATATTCTTTTATACCACCATCTTGTTCTGCTACTATAGTTGATTTTTCTCCATGAGTAATGACCACGATACGTTGACGTTTTTTATTAACTTTTGGCAATTGTGCCATTTTTTTAGCGATTTCTTTTAAATCTTTTGTCTAATATTGAAGAAAAGAAAAAAGATAGGTTTAAAAAGGTATGAATGTAACAGGAATGCGATAAGAAAGAATTTTATGTATTTACCTCCCAACCTTCTGAGGTAGCGAATGCTTCAGCTTCTGTTTCGTTACCAATAATCATGTCCCAATAAGGAGCTATTTCATTCATGGATTTTTTAAAAGGTGGTACTTGGGATAAAAATGGTGCTGATAAATTCATACTAAATACCTAAATCATAACAATATAAAATTATTATTAAAAAAAAATTTTTTTTTTAACATCATCTTAAATCTTACTTTATTTTTTTCAGCAGCATGCTTGGCAATTTTTAAGATAGAACTAGGCGATACGGTTAAAAAGAATCCTCCAACATAATAATAATCAGTATTTTCTACAATTCCCCATTTTTCTGGTAAATCCAAATGTTCTGATTCGTTATATTTTTCTGCTGCGGATAAATTTGCTACTAATGATCTATATATTTTTTATGTACGCGTAAATATTAAAATTATTAAAAGGTTAGAGTGAAGAGATGTTAATTACCTATTATGATCGGTGATAATTACACCACAAGTTCCAGTTGGAAATTCTTTATTAACTAAATAATCAATTGTTAGCCCTTCATTGCTGGCCGCATTTCTCATTTCTTGAGCAAATTTATCATCACCAACACACCCAAAATAAATTGTGGACTTTGGTGGTAACAAAAACTATGTTTAAATTAACCAAAAGGTTAAAACTTGTATTCGTAAAAGTAGTCATAATTTAATTATAATATTTATTTATTACCTGAGCACCACGCGCAGCATTTTGAGCCGCACCTCCTGCTACGTAAATAGGAGTATAATTATTAACGAGTTCTTCGTACCTTTATTATTAAAATTAATTGTTAAAGATATGATAACCATTTTAATTTCGATTACAGTATGTAAAAAATATGTAAAAATAAAAATCAATTACATTGGTTTATGTTTATCTTCGGCAAGAATAGCATCATTTGCTTTAAGATCATATCTAAATATGTGGATTTCGTTAATTCAAAATTCCTTTTCTCAACGTCGTCACTTGAACCAGTATAAAAATCTCACTTTTTAAGTAAAGCTCCATCAGCAGTAACTTGGATATCCAATAAAGGATTACCAATACATAGAAGTTTATATTTATGTTCAGTCATTTTTCTAATGTTTTTCTAAAGGCAAAGTTAAAAAAAAAATCTTTTTATCGAAACAAATTTTTTACAATCAAATGTCAATCTTAACGTGACTTTAATATAAAATTTCCAAATCCTGAATTTGCAGATCTCTTGTAACATACAGGGCCTTTGCAATAGAAAGGGAGGGAACATAAAAAATGAGTTAATGCTAAATTTAAACATATTTTAGCCTAAAAATCATTTTTAGCATATTAAAGTAAATTGATCTTTCCCGTTATGGGAGTTAATTACTGCTCCTTGGACAAATAAAAAATTGTGTAATTCAAAAGATCCATGGATTCGCCCACATTTTAGACTTAAATATCATTTTCAGTGATCGCAATAAGATGAAAAAAATGTCATCTAAATTTTATTTATATTCACTCCACACCGCATAAATGAAAGCCACACATTGGACGAAAAATCCTTTTTACATATGCAAGTTACTATAACTAAAAAAAAAAATACCTAATGATAATGATCATACCTATTTATACGATTAGTATTGTTTTAGTTGCGGGCGCGAAACTCAACCCTTAAATTTCAAAATTGGAAAAGCTTGTTAACAAGCTTTAAAATATACACCCCAAATATAAGATCCTGATGAATATATGGGAGCTTTGCTATTAAAAATGGATTCCGGGGACTTTTAACAAAAAATGAGATTTTTGATTCATATTATA